GATAATGGGGGTGTTTCTGGGTGGTTACTAGGATGATACTAGGGTGTTACAATGGTGTTGCTACGGTGATACTGGTGTGTTTTTGGGTGGTTGCTAGGGTGTTGCTATGGTGATACTAGAGTGTTTCTAGGTGGCTGCTAGGGTGATAACTAGGTTGTTTCTAGGTGGTTGCTAAAGTGATGTTAAAAAGTTGTTATTTGGTTGGTAAAATTTTCTAGGTGGTTGCTAGGGTGATACTATGGTGTTTATGTGTGCTTGCTAAAGTGTTGTTAGGCAGTTGATATGTGGGTGCTAGAGTGTTCTGGATGGTTTACTGGGGCGTTACTAAGGTGATGCTAGAGTGTTGCTAGGGTTTTCTGGGTGGTTGCTAAAGTGTCGCTAGGGTGTTCTGGGTGGTTGCTACAGTGTTGCTAGGTAGTTGTTATGTGGTTGCTAGGCTATGCTAATATATTTTTTATTATTTGCAAAGCTGCATATTCTCAGAGGTTAAGTGTGTGTTTTCTGCAGCACTAGATGCTGTCTGTCTAGCCTGTCCTACAGGAATATAGTGTTGAGTACTGACATGCTGATGTTGTACCTGTCCTCCGGCAGCGTTCCGCCTGCCAGCTTCACCACTGTGGGAAAAACATCCATCAGACTTGTTGGTTCTGCCACTTCTCGTCCCGGGTTGAGACGTCCAGGCCAGCGGATCCCGGAACTTGGTTCTGCCACTTCTCGTCTCGGGTTGAGACGTCCAGGCCAGCGGAATATTCCCGGAACTCGGATTCCTCCCTCCCAGCCGCCCATGGCTTTACCACCTAAACATAAGAGGGTCAGTAATTACACAAAATCATATATTTTTGTTCAGCATCAACACTCCTCCAAATGTCTGCTTTTGTGTTTCGTACCTCGATAGATTCCATTCCAGCCTCCTTTCGGACCCTCTTCGATGTGGCCACCGTGGTCAGAGGTGAAGTACATCAAGGTTTTCTCGGACAGGCCGAGCCTTTCAATGGTCTCCATCATTCTACCTGTGATCAAACACAAGATATTCTCCGTGAGTCACGTTTCAAACATGTCATGTTATGTGACTGAGCTGATTAATCTGTGATCGTGTGATTACTTGGTTTGTTACATTTAAAGGGATAGCTCACTCAGAAATGAAAATTAGCTGTTAATTTACTCACCCTCAGATCATCCAAGATGTAGGTGACTTTTCTTCTTTAGTAGAACAGTAAAGTAAATTTTAGCTGAAAGCGTGGCGATTCATAAAACCAGTACCTACCATTACTTTGAGAGTCAAAAAAAGCATATCAGGCAACTCAAAATTAAAGGGATAGTTCACCCAAAATGAAAATTCTGTCATTAATTACTCACCCTCATGTCGTTCTAAACCCTGTAAGACCTTCATTCATCTTTGGAACACAAATTAAGATATTTTTGATGAAATCTGAGAGCTTTCTGACCCTCCATAGACAGCAAGGGAAATGAAACGTTCAAGGCCCAGAAAAGCAGTAAGGATATCGTTAAAATAGTCCATGTGACATCAGTGGATCAACCGTAATGTTAACAAGCAACGATAATACTTTTGTGCGCAAAGAAAACTAAAATAATGACTTTATTCAACAATTTCTTCTCTTTCGAGTCCAGTCTTCGACGTGCATTCACAAATTCATCAGAAATATCTTAATTTGTGTTCTGAAGATGAATGAAGGTCTTACGGGTTTGCAACGACATGAGGGGGAGTAATTAATGACAGAATTTTCATTTTTGGGTGAACTAACCCTTTAATATCCGTGGCTCCTGACGACATATTGAGGTCTTATGAAGTGAAACGATCAGTCTGTGCAGTCTGTGAAACTGAACATTATTTACAGCATTATTACTGTAATCCAGAGCCTCAGACAAACGGGGAATTCTGATTCTTTTCTGTGAACTGGTTATTTCGGACAGTTTGTTTCAATTAACTGATTCAATTCACTAGTTAGTTTACATAATCACGCAATGACATCACATATACACAATTATATTATTAAAGCACCTAATAATGATGTGAAACGTGGATGTTTTACATGTCTAAAACAGATAAAGTGAATAAATTGGTCCTATAATCAGCTCACCTTTATGCGTAAACAATGAGAAAGCATAAAAACGTTAATTTCTCTCCTTCATTCAAGTGTTGCGTTCACACATGCGCATTTCAGCGGCTCATCGGTCTTTGGTCCTAGTCAAACTGTTTCCTCAGTTCAGTGTCTGTTGGAGGAACTGGAGTGCTGAATGATTCATTCATCATTTGATCAGATGTGCCACTATTTTGGAGTGACGGTCAGGGAGTTTGGATTGAGTAACTTGTAGATCTGTGCTGTTCGAGCCGCGAACTGATTCAGACGATTCAGTCCGATTTGATGAATCAGTTCAAATAGTTCACTTAAAAGAACCGGTTCAAAAGAATGATTCGTTCACAAACTGAACCGTTTCCCTGAGGCTATGGATTACAGTAATAATTCTGTAAATAATGTTCAGTTTCTTGCACAGACTGATCGTTTCGCTTCATAAAACCTCAATATATCGTCAGGAGCCACGGGGATTATTTTTGAGTTGCCTGATGTGCTTTTTTGACTCACTTTTTTGAGTGACGGTAGCCATTGACTTGCATTTTATGAGGCCCACGGTTACAGCTAAAAAACTTCTTTACAGTTCTACTGAATCCAAAAAGTCACCCACATATTGGATGGCCTAAGGGTGAGTAAATTAACAGCAAATGTTCATTTTAATTGTTACATTTGATTCATGATGTGATGCTTTCTTCTTTCCTCCTCACTTACCCACCATCCAGTCCACTTCTTCGACGTTGTCCCCGTACAGCCCATGTTTGCTCTTTCCGGTAAAGCCCTCGGACACAAAGAGGGGCGTGTGCACGTGTGCCAATGACAGGAAGAGCAGGAAGGGCCCGTCTTTGTGTCTGACATCATAAATCACACGATTAATGTGAATTATGAATTATTACCAAAGAAGTTTCCCACCGCAGGCACAAGAAATGAGTGCGTGGGAAACTCATGAGACGTGAAGCTGATTTGTCAGGACAAGGCAAGGCAAGGCAAATTTTAATTACAGAGCACAAGTTTAACACAACCGTAGTTGATCCAAAGTGCTCTACATTAAAAATAAATCAGATTTTTAAAAGGAGAAAAAGATTTGTTGTCAGTAAATTAATTAATAAAGCTTCATCTTCTTCATTCAAACTATAATTAATTTTTTTACTTCTGTTGAATTTGTGCATGTGTTTTGTGATTTGCAGGACAAGTCTAATATCTAATGCATTACCACATTATGAAGCATGCATGCATGCACATCACGGGTGAATCTCATCAAGAACACGCACATAAATTCAACAGAAGTAAAGAAGAAATCCAGCTCTGTTCATGTGTCGGTTATCGACTGACCTCTCCACGAACCGCTCGGCTTCGCTCATCAGCCTGGCGCTCAGCGTCTCCAGCTTCACGGGCTGCTCCACCACCTCGCCGTTCCTCATGATGATGCAGTTCCAGGTCCGCAGGAGTTCAAACGGCACGAACCACGCCGTGAAGCCCAGCAGCGACAGAATGGCCAGAAACGCCGCGAGCGTCCAGCTGACCCGCAGCAGAGCCGAGGCTCGGACCGCGAGCAGCGTGAGAGACGCCAGCGCCAGCAGCGCAGACATCTGCCACAGCATCTCCTGCACATCCACCAGCACACCTTTCCCCGCTCCGGGTTTGCAGTCATTGAAGTTGGTGAAGGGAAGCCCGTAGAAGAAGTCGAAGCCGTGATTGTTGGGATGATGGCAGTGATCGTTCCTGCTCTCGCAGTTCACACCTAAATGCCACTTACCTGAAGAGTGAACACATTTATTTATTCATTTATTCATTCATTTATTTATGTGGGTTTTATTTATTTATTTATGTGGGTTTTATTTATTTATTTATGTGGGTTTTATTTATTTAGCATATTTAACTTATTTATTTAGCATATTTAACTTATTTATTTGTGTATTTTATTTATTTATTTATTTTTGTGTGTATTTTTAATTAATTAATTAATTATTATTTTTGTGCATATTTTATTTATTTATTTGTGTATTTATTTTATTTATTTATTTTTGTGTGTTTTTTTAATTAATTAATTATTTATTTATTTTTTGTGCATATTTTATTTAGTTATTCATGTTAATTTTCCCATTCTTTTCTTTTTCTTCTTAATCCCCCTCCATTTTTTCTGATTTCTTATCATTTGTTTTTCTTTTTATTTCCTAATTATCTCTGTTGTTGTTATTGTTATTATTATTACTTTATTTTCCCTCATTGTATATAATTTTTTCTCTTCTCTTTTCTTCTCTCTCCTTCTGTTCTACATTTATATTTACATAATTCAGATCCGAGTCCTCTCAAAACCTGAATGAATTAATAATAATTAATTCCCTACAGTTAAAATTAAGTAATCAAAGTCATTACAATACATAATAGAGATATACACATGCACAGCACACTTCACATAATCACGTGTAAAACCTATTTTTTTAATGTTTTTTTCTTTTTTTAAATGTATTATTATTATTATTTAGGTTTTTTTTTTTTCATTTGTTTTGTATTTTTGGTGTCGTCTTCCTATAGTTTGTCTTATGTACTGCTCTAAAAGCAAAAAAAACCCTAACCCTAAAAAAGAAGAAATGGGAAAAAAAGTAAGCACACACTGTAAGTACTCATAAACCCAAATGAGACAATAACTCATGAAAATACTGTAAATAAGATGTATGAATGCAGGAGGGAAATGTGCTTATTTGCCTGGAAAATAATGTCTCAATGCAAACTATCTTAAATAGATCGTTCGCCTAAAAGTGAGCATTCTGGCATCATTTACTCTCCCTTGCGTTGTTCCAAACCCCAATCGCTTTCTCTCAGGGTTGTTATCATTAACTAAATCTAAAACCATAAAAAAAACATGTTAGTTAATTGAAATAAAATAAATTATTATTTAATGTTAACATTAAAAATATTTTTTAAAATTCTAATTTTCCTTTAGTTTAACTTGAAGTGCTACAATAACTAAAACAGAAATTATTACAAATAATACAGACATTACATTTTTTTTAACCAAAATTGTAACTAAAATTAAAATGAAGATAATAAAAATCAAACATTTTAAATAAAAAATTAATTAATTTTAAAAAGTCTTTAAGGAATAGTTCACGCAAAAAATGGTAATTTTGGCATCATTTACTCTCCCTTGTGCCGTTCCAAACCTGAAAGGCTTTCTCTCAGGGTTATTATCGTTAATTAAATCTAAAAGCATTTTAAAAAAAAACATTTTTGTTAATTGAAACGTTAGTTTTTTAGTTTTAAGTTAAAATAAAATATATATTTTTTAAATCTCATTTTCATTTAATTGACCTTTAAGTTCTAAAATAACTGAAACTGAAATAAAAGTTAATAAAAACTATATAGACATCTAAAAAAAAATTATACTAAAAATTACAAAAAACAACAAAATTACTAAAATTGTAACTAAAATGAAAATGAAAATGGAAAAATAAAAAAAAATAAAAAAATAAAAAAATAAATAAAAATGTAAAATATCAATAAAAACTATAACAGTATATTATGATATTAAAATAATAATTTTTATCAGTGGAAATAAATGAAATAAAAATATGAATAAAACCTATAATAGTATATCCATGAAATTAAAACAACACACTTTCATCTGTGCAACACCAAAGAATATATTTTGAGAAATGTTTTTTGTTTCATTAAGCTCCAGTGTCCCAGTGTTTGGTTCCCAAAGCTCTTCAAATGTCACACAGGTTTGGAACAACATGAGGGTGAGTATATGATCGTGATTTATCCCTTCAGTGGATTTCTTTATGCATACTATCATTTTTAACATTTCTGACTTGAGCTAAACACTGTCTTGCTGTAGCTGCTTCACAGCAGAATTTGAATCAGTCTCATGTTTGATGAAGATTGCATTGATTCTCCTGTGCATCACTGTGAAGCTGCTTCAGAACGATCTGTATTGTGTAAAGCGTGACTGGACTGTACATGTCTTACCCACGATGCCGGTGGTGTAGCCCTGCTTCTGCAGGAGTTTGGCGAAGGTGGTTTCATTCGGTGGAAGTCCTCCAGATCCAGCGAGAAACAGAATCACCTGAACTCGGCCTGTGCTGCCTAGACCTTCACACCGACACAGACACAGACGCATATATCACAGACCGATAAAACAAGCTGCTTATCTCGTGATTTATTGGCCTGGTGATTGACATTAAAGGCGATAAATATATCAGCATCCACACCGGCGCACAATAACAATATGTTTATTATACACTGCTGTTCAAACGTTTGAGATCAGTAAGAATTTTCATGTTTTTTAAAGTCTCTTATGGTCATCAAGGCTGCATTTATTTGATCAAAAATACAGAAAATAAACGTAAAATTGTGAAATATTATTGCAATTTAAAACAGCTGTTTTCTATGTGAATATGTGTTAAACTGTAATGTGTTTCTGTGATGCGCAGCTGTATTTTCAGCATCATTACGCCAGTCTTCAGTGTCACATGATCTTCAGAAATCATTCTAATATGCTGATTTGTTATCAATGCTGGAAACTGTTGCTGCTTCATATTGTTTTTGGAACCTGTGATACTTTTTTCAAGATTCTTTGATGAATAAAAAGTTAAAAAGAACAGCATTTATTCAAAATATAAAACTTTTGCAACAATATACACTACGGTTAAAAAGTTTGGGTTCAGCAGATTTATTTTCTATTTTAGGAAGAAATTAATACTTTTATTCAGCAAAGATGTGTTAAATTGATTAAAAGTGACAGTAAAGACTTATATTGTTAGAAAAGATTTCTATTTTCAATAAAAGCTGTTCTTTTTAACTATTCATCAAAGAATCCTGAAAAGAGTATCACAGGTTGCATCCATCGTGTGCTGTATTTCCGAGTGGACTGGATGAAGTCTCACCGGCGCGCAGAGCGTAGCGTCCCGTCATGAAGGCGGTTCTGCTGGGAGTGCAGAGCGGAGCGGCGGCGAGATGCTGGCTCAGTTTCACTCCGTCTGCCGCCAGACGATCCACGTTTGGTGTGCTTCAGACACAGAGACAGTTACTGATGAATCCAGCAGCTGAGCCTGTTTCAGACCCGTGTGATGCCGTTTATCTAAGATGATTTGAAGAATCGTCTTTATATTCTACCGTTCCATCAGAATAAAGCACAGGAGTTACGTTTTCATAGTGTTCCTGAAGCTCATACGCTTGCAACACCTAGGTCAAGGGTTCGATTCCCAGGGAATGCATGAATGGATCAAATGCTCAGCATGAATGCAACGCAAGTCGCTTCGGTTAAAAGCATAAATGCATATGTGTTTCTGTCCTTTTTGGAGTTTGACAGACATGGTCACTATGAGAGCAGAGATTTGTTTAATAATCAATCTGACCCTTTTTAAAGCAATATTTGCATTGTTTTTTTTTTCATAACAGGACTGATAAATGACAGATCAGCACTACTGTGTTAATAAGTAAATAACTTGTTTTGCATATAGTTTGCACAATCATTCCACTTTTACAGCAATTTATTCTATTGTATTTTATTAGTGCTATAATCAAAATATGCATAACGCATATAAAATACACAATTTTTTAATTGGTCATAATCTAATTACTTTGCATTTATTATTTTGTCAAAAAGCAACAAAAAAAAACTATTTAATAACTTACTTCCTTAACTTAAAAATACTCTGCATCCATAAAAAAACTATATATGTTGTTTTTCTAGAAAAGAGTTGCATGAAAAGCAACACATTGCATTTTATTAGTATGATTAGTAAAATATGCATAATGCATATTACTTACTTTTTATAATCTAATTATTTTGCAGTTATTATTTTGTCAAAAAGCAACAAAACTATATTTAATAACTTGTTTTCCTTAACTTAAAAATACTCGGCATCCATAAAAAACTATATATATTGTTTTCTAGAAAAGAGTTGCATGAAAAGCAACACGTTGCATTTTATTAGTATGATTATTAAAATATGCATAATGCATATTACTTAATGTTTATAATTAATTATTTTGCAGTTATTATTTTGTCAAAAAGCAACAATAAAACTATACTTAATAGCCAGTTTTCCTTAAAGATAATTGGGCACTTGCATAAAAAAAATAATATGTGTTGATCTCTAGAAATCTCTAGTTGCATGAAGTTTTCATGTTCCACACGGGTCTGAAACAACACGAGGGTGACAGGATTTTAATTTAAAATCAATTATTCTTTTCGGTGTCAAGTCAGTGATTTACCTGATGGTGTCGTTTCCATAGCAACCGATGTCTCCAATGCCCAGATCATCCACCATCATCAGGACGAAGTTGGGTCTGGAATCATGATCTGCACTGGTCACATATGAACTGGACTGGAGGAGAACCAGCAAAGCAGCGAAGAACCTGCAAAAGCACAGCAGAGCTGGATTAGTTTTGGTCGGAGTAGCCCTAACCAATCAGAAAGACCTTTCGCCACGCCCCCCTCATCTTTCGCCACGCCCCCGAACCGTTCGCCACGCCCACCGTTCCAGCCTGCATTAAACTTGTTAGTGTCTCTAACTGCTGTCATGTTAATATCTGTTATGAAATCTGCAGATACACCGACCTCAAGCTCCTGTTTTCCACCAGCATGCTCCTCTAAAGCGCAAGTGAGATGATAAACACGTCCAGATGTGAAGAAGCAGGAAAACACGGAAGTAAGCCCAGATTCCACGCACTCTTGCCTTCTGCTGTGGGAACGAGATCAGCTGATTTAGTGATTGATTGATTTATTATCAGCAGGATCACAGACGCCAACGCAGCAGAAGTCAGTCAGTCAGTGCGCTTTATGTCCGGCTGCTCTCTCTGTCTCTGCAGCACCCCGGCGATCAGCTCAAAGTCTCTTTTTGGGGCTGTTTTATGTGCTTACCTTTCCCTAAAGAATCCGTTTTCTCCGATTCCCGACAGGATTCCCACTCACTGTCCTCTGCTGACAGGATAATGTCCACATTCCCACTGTACCTGTGTGCGCGTTTACCGTAAACACTCCCATAGAGACGCATATGTGCAGTGATCATATGCACAAATATTTTATGAATATTGCTCTTGAACATTGAATAATATAAATTTTTATTATTATTATTATTATTATTATACCGCAATGTGAAATATTGTTATTATTAGAAGTAATAACAACAACGGTAATAATAATAATTTACATTATATATATATTTAGATTGATTTATATTAATTACCGAACCAAAGCAGCTCACTCTATGTGTGCGTTATTGTCTAATTTGAAGAGAAGCAACGCATTGGTCTGTATGTTTGTATGTTTCGTTGTTTTATTTCAAGCAGAGTGTGTTTATTAAAGTGAGTGCGCGTATAGCAGAGACTCTACGGTAGATTCAAACAAAGAGTCATTTGTATCGCTGTTGCTACAGTTTGTTTGCCTGGAAAAGCTGCTTCTGCACAACTCAAACATCTGTTTAAATGTGTGCGATGAGTATATGCACAAATATTTAATGAATATTGCTCTTGAACATTTATTATTATTATACCGCAATGTAAATTATTATTATTAGAAGTAATAACAACAGTAATAATAATAATTTACATTATTATATATTTATATTAATTTATATTTCATATATATTATATTGTTATAATCTAAATATACATTTATATAAATATATATTGTTTTGAATCATCTAATATAATATGCATTGTACCGCAAGATAAATTATTGTTATTATATATAAGTATATAATTAAATTGCTCTGTATGATTTAATATAATCATATGCATGAAATTATTGTTGTTATTATTCATATTAAAAACAACAATCATTATTATATATTTATATAAATGTATAATTTTATTTTATATA